CATCATATCACATATCACAGCATCATATCACATATCACAGCATCATATCACATATAATATCATATAATCATATCACATAAGATGTCATATCATATCTTATCAAATCATCTTATCACACATTACATCATATCACATATCACAAATCATATCACATATCATATATCATCTTATCACATATCATATCATATCATCATATCATATCATCATATCATATCATCTTATCACATATCACATATCATATCATCATACAAATTGCAAATTACTTTGTATATCACATATCACCTCATATCTCATATTGTATTGCACTGTATCATATCATATCATATCATATCATATCATATCATATATCATATCATATCATATCATTTATCATATCATATTTCAACAAACAAAAATATAAAGTCCATCTCTGCACCTAAACTACCTGCAGTTCATCTTATTTCATGTGTGTGTGTGTGTCTCAGGTTCTATTGGGACCTGACTATGCTGCTGCTGATGGTGGGAAACCTCATCATCATCCCCGTGGGCATCACCTTCTTCAAGGACGAGCACACACCGCCCTGGATCGTTTTCAACGTTGTGTCGGACACCTTCTTCCTCCTGGACCTGGTCCTCAACTTCCGCACTGGCATCGTCAAGGAGGACAACACGGAGATCATCCTGGACCCACAGCAGATCAAGATCAAGTACCTGAAAAGCTGGTTCGTGGTGGACTTCGTCTCCTCCATACCCGTGGACTACATCTTCCTCATCGTGGAGACTCGCATCGACTCTGACTTTTACAAGACGGCCCGAGCTCTGAGGATCGTCCGCTTCACCAAGATCCTGAGTCTGCTGCGTCTGCTGCGCCTCTCCAGACTCATCCGTTACATCCACCAGTGGGAAGAGGTAGACGAAAACCATCAATTCAGAGCCTCATAAGAGCTGGTTAAAAGAAATCTTGATAATATTTATACGCATCAAGAAAATACTTAGTTATTTCTGTCTTTAAAAATTGGAATATTTTTCAGTCTCTTTGACATGTTTTTTAGTATTTTTACCAGACTATTAATGAATCTCTTTAATTTCTTGTCTTACACTAAAAATATTCCCCTACAAACCATGCACAATCAGTTTCCTTGCAATTTTTTTCAACTTTTCTTTCTTTGCATTTATGCTTTATCTAACTAAATAGAAGAAAACATTTGTTGCTGCATGATAAATTGTCTATTTTTTACACAAACATGCACACACAGTCAGCTTAGTAAGTAGATTTTTAATGCATCATCTTCCTTTTCTAATTCCAACAGTGACTCCTTGACATCTGCCCATTTTCAGTGCAGATGGTTGCCCAGCCCTGAAACAGCGTTAGCTGCTGTTATGAAAGATTAATTGTGGTCCGGCAGAGATCGACTGTACTTGTCAGTGTACCGTGCTGTTAATGCAAATTTTAAATCCCCAGGTTGCTTATGAGGAAATATGTTGAAATATGTTTTCCCCTCAAACAGTGTGGATGTTTTCCCTGCTGTAGGTTTTCCACATGACGTATGATCTTGCCAGTGCCATGGTGCGGATCATGAACCTGATTGGCATGATGCTGCTGCTGTGTCACTGGGATGGCTGTCTGCAGTTCCTGGTGCCGATGCTGCAAGACTTCCCTCCTGACTGCTGGGTCACTCGAAACAAGATGGTGGTAAGTGGATTAAGCCAAATGTGTTCCTGTCAAAGTTACGCATGCATCATGTGAAGACGGTCGTTACCAGTTTGACAGTGCACAGTTTGTATTAACAAGAGTCATACTTTCTCCTTTCTGGATTGGGGGGAGCTGATATCTATATCCAGCAGTCACTGTGCAAGAGGGTCAGGTCTCCAGTCCATCACAGGGACACATAGAGACAAAGGAGACAAAACAATTAATTCTCTCACAGACACCTAGAGATAATTCAGTTTCCAGTTAACCTAACCTACTGTATGTTTTGATCTGTGGGAGGAAACTGGACTTTCTGGGTGGTCCCCTCTCAGTGACCTTTTTGCTGTGAGTCAAGAGCTCTAACCAATACTTTGCTGTGCTGCCATATTTTTAAGAATTTATTTCAATAAGATATAATCAACATTAGGGCAGCACGGTGGCGCAACTGGTAGAGCTGCTGCCTCTCAGCGAGCAGGTCCCTGGTTCAAACCCCGGTCCAGGGGCCTTTCTGGGTGGAGTTTGCATGTTCTCTCCGTGCATGCGTGGGTTTTCTCCGGGTGCTCCAGTTTCCTCCCACAGACCAAAAACATGCATGTTAGGCTGATTGGTAACTCTAAATTGTCCCTAGGTGTGAGTGAGAGAGTGAATGGTTGTTTGTCTCGTTTGTCTCTATGTGTCCCTGTGATGGACTTGCGACCTGTCCAGGGTGTACCCCGCCCCTCGCACAGTGATTGCTGGACATGGGCACCAGCGACCCCCGTGACCCAAAATGGAATAAAACGGGTAAAGATAATGGATGGATAATCAACATTATGGGACATGACACAAAATAGTGTTTTGTGACACAAAACACAAAAAGCCTCAGAGATAGTGACCCCCAACTATTGCTGGTTGAAGTAAACAAGCTTTGCTAAAAAGCTGTTTAACAAAGAGACTCATCAAACAATATTTTTTACTATTTATGGCTGCTGTTTCTATTTTTTTTTTAATCCATCCATCATCTTTACTCTTCTTCCTTTCACTGGAGTCGCTGGTGCCCATATCCAGTAGTCACTGTGTGGGAGGTGGGGACATCCTGGACATGTCTCAGTCCATCACAGGGACACAAACAACCATAGAGCAAAGATAGAGTTACCAGTCAGCCTAACATGAATGTTTTTGGTCTGTGCGAGGAAACCGGAGTACCTGGAGAAAACCCACACATGCACGGAGAGAACATGCAAACTCCACCCAGAAAGACCAAGATTCAATCCAACGAACTTCTCGTTGAGAGGCAGCAGCTCTACCAACTGAGCCACCGGGCCACCGTTTATAAAACAGTTTAAGCTAAATATGCTAACAGAGATTATTTTAAAAGTTAACATAATTTTAGTAGATCATCTCAAGGCCCCCCACTAGGTGTTTCATGACCCACAATAGGGTCCAAACCTCAACTTTGGGAACTACTAATAAAAAGAATGTGTCCTCGTAGGAGAAATGTGTGGTTTTCTGCAAGCACAAACCGAGGCAGAAGCATCTAGCTGTAGCACTTCCTGTCCAGCCTGGAGCCCCTTTTAGCATGGATATCATAATATTTCTGCAGATTAAACTGATGGTGATGTAAAAGTTTATAAATGATCATTTACATGAACCAGTAAAGACATTTCAAGTTGTATTAAAAATGCCATCAATCCACCATGTTCTTATCTCTGCTCAAACTAATAGTTGTTGCTACTGAAACAAATCTCAATAAACACACATATTTGTTTACTGCTGATTTATCTGTTTATTAATGGGCAGAAGAAAAGCTGAAGCAGACTATAACACATTAAACCAGCGCCACAGTGTTAGGATGTATAAATAAATACAGTTTGTCACAGTCAGAGGCTCTGAGGAGAATAAAGAGCTCACAAGCTGCAGATGTGACTCAAACTTTCTCCTTCCTCCTCCACATCCCTTCCAGAATGACACTTGGGGTCAGCAGTACTCTTACGCTCTGTTCAAAGCCATGAGTCACATGTTGTGCATCGGCTACGGCCTCTACCCCCCCATCGGCATGGGCGACGTCTGGCTCACAATCCTCAGCATGATCGTAGGCGCGACCTGCTTCGCCATGTTTGTGGGACACGCCACCGCACTCATCCAGTCTCTGGACTCTTCCAGGAGGCAGTACCAAGAAAAGGTGGGAGTTTGTTTCTATACTGGCTTGTGTTTATTTATTTGTTTATTTATTACTCAAACTCTTTGAAATCAGCGGTGGACCGTTAAAAAGCTTTACAGGTTTTCTTTGAGAAAGTTTGGGATCGTTTCCTTAGGTCTAATTTTTACAAGCTGAATGATTTGACACATTTCACAAACAGTTCATGAAATTAGATGTCTTGTTTCTAAATGAACTTTAGCTGCAACCACAAGATGCTGCTATCATTCTCAGGGCCAACACCAAGGAGGGACCAAAGGGGGCGATGTCCTCCCCTATATATTTGTTGGTCCCACCCACTGCCCCCTCTGACCAGTCAATATTTTAAGCATAATGTGTTTGCAAATTCTCCTTCAACCAGCAGGCCAAGTTTATTAAACTCACAGAAACTAATAATTATTTGTATATTTATAATTGATTAACTTTGAATGTCAACTGGATTCAAATTCAAAACCAAACCTCACTGCTAACAGTATCATGCTGCTAACTGGACCATGCTGCCAAGATAACCTCACTGTCAACCACTCTGAACCCCTCTGCTAATAGGACCATGTTGCTGTAGAGTTATTTATTTTTTACTTTTGGCTCCTTGTTTCTGTATTTTTGTTGCATGCTTTGATATTTGCTGTTGTTTTTTTGGCGAGTCGAGACGGTTCTTTTTGTACTCAGCATTTCATTGTTGAGCGGCCATGACTGAGTGGTTAGAGCAGTCGTCCTCCATTACAAGAGTTGGGGGTTCGATTCCACCAGCAGTCACATGCTGAAATGTCCCTGGGCAAGACACTGAACCCCTCATTGACTCTGATGTGTGTCCCATTGGTGTATGAATGTGATAAAGCTCTGATCATTCTTTGTCTAGATCTAGTAGAGTGCTGTATGAATGGGTAAATGAGGACACATATTGTTGTGTAAAGAACTTTGCATGTCTTGATAAGATAGAAATGTGTTATATAAGTACAGTCCATTTACCATTGTAATGTTGACCTTGTGTTGATTTTATATATGACAAATAAACTGAACTTGAACATAAATGGCTGCCACAGTCAATCAACCTTAGCAAACACAAAACTTCGCTGTAACTCAGTCAGTTTGATGGACACTGAGCTCACATTTGGTGTGTTGGTAGCTGAGAGTCATTCCAAACACATCTTTTGTAATAAGTTTATTTATTATCTTTGCATGTGAGACAGCAGGCAATGTGCATTCTTTTGAGACGTGCTTGTTTCAATTATAAATGTAAATTTGAGCGAGGAGAGGATAAACCTTGAGCTGAGAACTGACTGTGCTGTTGTTCCTAATTAGTAATATCAACTGTAAAATAAAAATTAAAAGCTGATGTAGGTTTTTATCAGAGGGTAGTTCCCTAAATACTTCACTGCAGTATTTTTAAACAGACTTAAGTAAAACAATGGTATAATAGAACTCTTAACAGTGTGTTAAATGATTCACATCAAAACAACCATCAACATCAACAAGGCCCCTCACCAGTATGCACACTGTGAGAACCGATCAACAGAGGACGCCATCTCCTCTGTGGTCCACACTGCTCTCACCCACCTGGAGCAGAATGACTCCTACGTCCATATGCTCTTTGTGGACTTTACATCCTCCTTCAACACCATGATCCCCCAAACTCTGATGGACAAAGTATTCACACTAGGACTAAACCCCTCCATTTGTAACTGGGTCCTGGACTTCTTAACAAACAGACCACAGTCTGTGAGGATCCACAACTTCTCCTCCTCCACCATAACCCTCAGCATTGGCTCTCCTCAGGGATGTGTGTTGAGGCCCCTCCTGTTTACTCTGCTCATGTATGATTGTGCAGCTACCCATCCAGGCTGTCACATTGTAAAGTTTGCAGATGATACAGCGGTGGTGGGATGCATCACAAACAATGATGAGTCCAGCTACAGGCAGGAGGTGGAACACCTGGAGAGCTGGTGCAAAGAGAATAACCTTCACATCAATGTGAAGAAGACAAAGGAGATGATCGTGGACTTCAGAAGGAACAAACACACCTACACCCCCCTGAACATAAGAGGATCTGTGGTGGAAGTGGTCTCCAGCTACAAGTACTTGGGTGTGCACCTGAATGACAACCTCAGCTGGAGCAACAACACCACCAGCCTGATCAAGAAAGCTCATCAGAGACTCTACTTCCTCAGGCAGCTGAGACGAGCTGGTCTGGGAAACTCAGTCCTCACCTCCTTCTACAGGTGTGCAGTGGAGAGCATCCTGTGCTCCAGCATCAACGTGTGGCATGGAGGCTGCACAGCTGCAGAAAGAAAAGCTTTGCAGAGAGTGGTGAAGGCTGCACAGAAGATGTTGGAGTCAGCCTCCCCACCACCACAGACATCTACACCTCCAGATGCAGGAAGAGGGCCACCTGCATCATGAAGGACCCCACTCACCCAGCACACACACTTTTTGCCTCGCTCCCCTCAGGAAGGAGGTTGAGGAGCATTAAGTGTAGAACCACTAGACTGAGGAACAGCTTCTACCCTGAGGCTGTTAGACTCATGAATCTCTAACCAGCATAATCACTGTGAAGAATCACATCATGTTGCTGCTGATCTGTTCCATGTTGCTGCTGATCTGTTTCAATGTTGCTGCTGATCTGTTCCATGTTGCTGCTGATCTGTTTCAATGTTGTTGTGTTCATGCGTGCTCATCTGCTCACACAGACTCATGTTCGTGCTGCTGTTTGGCGTAATGTTTTTTATGCTATTAGTGCTTAGTGCAAATTTATTTGATGTTTTTCTTAGTTCACATCTTAGATGTTATTACTGTTTTTCTTTTACATTTTGTTGTTGGATGTAACTGGGACCCTGTGTACATAATTTCGTTCCACCACATGTACCACATGAGGTGCGAATGACAAATAAAGAACCTTGAATCCTTGAATTTTTAAAGCCATTGGTTTTATAGTTTGCCACCCCAAGATTAACTGTGATCTAACTGTACCCCTTTGAAATCTTTCTGGATGTGCCCCCGGCTCATTCTGATACTTCTCCTAGTGGAAACATGAGAAAGTATTTCACACAGAAAATAACTAATGAGAACATGTTTTTTACACCTGCTTCAAATCAACTTAAAGACTTACAATGCACACAGGTTGCTCTGCGGGGCACTCGGGCGTGAAACGACTCCGTCAGCAAATTAAGAAAAAACATAAAAGGACAGAGGAAAAAAATCACTGTTCCATGTTGGAGCCACTGATGTGACAGATAAAAGGAGACAGATATGTCCCAGATTTAATCAAACCAAAGCAGATGCTTATGGCAGGAGATGCCGTCCATGCACTGGGTTTGCTGTGATCTCCTCCTGATGCTCTGCTGGTGGAGTACACCGCTGAAGGACACAGTGCTTAATGCCATTAGCTGCAGCCTGCAGAGCGCGGCTGTTAATTGTCAGATGGGGCCGACGAGCCGCAGCGCTGCACTGCGAGCAGGTTTCACAGATGGCCTGACAGTTGACTGTTAACATAATGAGACACATTACAGTCCACCTCTGAGCCAGCACATCAATCAGGTTAATAAATTCATTCTGACATGACTTTGCATTTTGCCTTTGCAACAAAAGCGGCAGCATTAATCTTGCAGTTGTTTCCCCTGCATGTTAATTTGTGCAGTTTGGTCCATTTTGAACAGCTGAGCTTTTCTCCTCTCCTTGCCACAGTACAAACAAGTGGAGCAGTACATGTCTTTCCACAAGCTCCCCGCCGACATGCGGCAGAGGATCCACGACTACTACGAGCACCGATATCAGGGGAAGATGTTTGACGAGGAGAGCATTCTGGAGGAGCTGAACGAGCCGTTGAGAGAGGTCAGACTTCCTCCCTGTTCATGCTGTGAAGTCTTTATTAACATTTATTTACAAGCATGCTTAAGGTTAAACACAATAGATTTTATTTATGTACAACTTTCACTGGTAAATAAGTTAGTGCATGACAGGAGCATCCTTGTTGATGCACAGATAAAAACTGATATAATCCAATATGGCTGCTTTACTTTCCATGATAATGTTAATTGTCTTGTAATCTGATTAGTAACGGACGTATGACGGCAGAGAACCTTAATAACTGAGCTCTAAGCCGCTTTTATAATGATTGAAATGTACACGTACCAGCACAGGCGTGGGGGAAGGCCTCGCCTAAAAAAATTATTGTATATAAGTAATAACCAGTGGTGGGTGTACTTAAGTACATTTTTCATGTATCTGTCATTTACATAAGTAGAAGGTTAAATCATTTCATCTGGACCAGTTTCTTTAAGGGAGAAACGTTTTGTCTTCCATCCAGAAGACTTCATCAGTATGTGGCCTGCCAACCAGATCTGTCCCATAAGCAGCCGTCACTGCTGTGTTTCCAGATGAAATGATTTAACCTTCTTTTGGTATCTACCTGGATGAATGAGCCTACAAAACTTTTTTTTTTAACATAAGTAGAGTTAAATGTGGGTACTTCTGACGTTTACTCCTCTACATTTTACATTAAGTATCTTTACTTTCTATCATGAGTTGCATTACAAGTTACATTCACGTTGACCAATGACATATAATCTAGTATATATGTCACTGAGATGGGTGCACCTGCAACACTGCTAACACCCAAAATGGATTCCACCACGGAGAGTCAGCCAGAAGATACGTGCCACCCATGGCCTTATTGAAAGATTATTGAAAGATTATTGAAAGATTATTGAAAGACTGTTCAGTACAGCAGGACAGATTCTCTCCCAAAAGAGCCAGACTGAACTCAAAAAACTTTGAAAACCAACTTCTTCTGAACTTGAACAAGAAATTCTTGCTGCAAAATTAAAATGTGTCAGTTCATGGATGTTAGGAGACAAGAGATGTCTCCAAACGTTTTAACACTCGGGTCCAAATTTTGAAAATGGTGTCAGGAAGTTAAAACATTGTTCACTATTGAGCCATTACAAGGTTGAATAGACATTACTTTAACTTGAATTGAAATGATCAGATATTCCTTTGTTTGGTCTAATGCTCATTTTTTCAGGCAGACAACTTTTACTTAAATGTGTTTACTTAAAATGGCACATTGGTTTTACTTTGTGTTAAATAAAACTTTCAAAGTTCTCTTTCTTATTTTGCTTAATGACATTTAACTCTGCAGGTCATCCCTGAAATTCTGCTGCACAGAATCACAAGTCCAAGTGTGAACTGTGTCACAGAGTAAACAATAAAAACATGAATTATCTGCAGCATCGTTCATTAAAATGACACAACACTATTAATGTGTTACAGAAAATATACATACAGTAAGTACATTTAATGATATTGTAGACCATTGCATTAGGTAATACATTCAGCAAGTACTTTTACTTGTAATACTTCAAGTATTTTTAAAAGCAAGTACTTATTTACTTTTACTTAAGTAAAAATGTTAATGTGGTACTTCTACTTTTACTAGAGTACATTTTTGACTGTTTATTTGTACTTTTACTTAAGTACAGTGTTGCAGTACTTCCTCCACCACTGATAATAACAAAGCTTCTGTTTCTTCTGCAGGAAATTATCAACTTTAATTGCCGTAAACTGGTGGCCTCCATGCCCCTGTTTGCCCACGCCGACCCCAACTTTGTAACCTCCATGCTGACCAAGCTGCGGTTCGAGGTCTACCAGCCGGGCGATTACATCATCCGGGAGGGCACCATCGGCAGTAAGATGTATTTCATCCAGCATGGCGTCGTCAGCGTGCTGACCAAGAGCAACAAAGACACCAAGCTGACGGACGGCTCTTACTTTGGAGGTGAAACTCACAGCAGCCCATTCTGCACTCTGCTGTCATCGTGTGTGCAGACGAGTGATCGTGAAGATTTGTTTTGATTTAGTTTGCGCAGGCACTCAACAGATTAACTTCCCCGACCGCCGCAGCTGGTTCAAATCGTCATCTCCTTAAAAGGGCCTAAGAGGAGCAAAGCTTTGCGATCTTTGAGTCCATCTGTGGAGTTCTGCCCTTTTGTTTAAAGCTGAAATCCAGAACTTTCCATTTGTTTTCACCAAGGGTTGCGTCATCTCGGAGCTCGTTGTCTGTGCAGCTGCGTGCAGCAAAGTGACATGTCATTAAATATTACTGTAACCTCGCCTTTCATTTATATAACTAAGAGCAGTGAAGCCACTCTAAGTTAAACAGCAGCACACAATTCATTATGATTAAAATCATATTTTTCCATAATTTTAATCCCATGTGCTCATGGATGCAGATAACAGCCAGAAATCTCATTTGTCACTTGTATTTAATGCACTGAATTGATGAAAATCACACACACAAAAGGAAAGCCTGGCATTTTTGTTGTCTTCAGTATGCCCTGTTGTTAAAATAAATACTTTATATGTTACAGTTTCTTTTAAAAGATGTGGCTGACACGAGGCCAGGACGAAGTGTAAGCTGCAGAAACTGCATTAAGTGCTCCGTCTGTGGACTTCCAACGCTTCAGTCCTTCCACACATTATTGTCTCACACTAATAACATTGTTTCTCACTCTTCTTTTGCTAAATGGATCTAAAATATATAAACACAGTAGTAGTGCCTCGCACATCTTGCATAAGAAGCAGGAAATGATTATATAAGGCCTCATAATAACCATCCCTCTTTTTTAATCCCTGCTGTTAAAACCTGTCTTAGTCCCTGCAGAAAATCTGATAAAGATGTAGAACAAACATTTGAACTTTCAGGTTTTATTCTCTGCTTGCAGAAATCTGCCTGCTGACTCGAGGCAGGAGGACAGCCAGCGTGCGGGCGGATAACTACTGCCGGCTGTACTCTCTGTCCGTGGACAACTTCAACGAGGTGCTGGAGGAATACCCCATGATGAGGAGGGCGTTTGAGGCTGTGGCGCTTGACCGCCTGGATCGCATCGGTGAGTTGTTTACAAAAAATAAAATAAGGGTGAAGACTCCAGGTCTGAAAAGTGAGGTAAATAACTGAATAAGCCCCAATGTCTTTAAAGCATTCTCATATTTCACAAGAAAGGACTAAACTGAGCAACCCTGAGGTTTAAACACAACTTTACCCAAACACTTTTGAAATACACCCGGCTTCCTGAGCCAGTGGCGGGCCGTGCATTTCACACCTAGTGGTGTCCCGCCTGAATTTATCCACCTCTTTATACCATTATTATGATGCCACGGCTACAGAAACCATGGATAATAAACAGAATCATGGTCTAATAAGGCACCAGTCACAGACAGGTATCTCATGTGGCGAGAACGAACGCCATTACTAAAGCAAAAAACCCAATTAACACAATTCAACAAGGTTGTCTTCTGCAGCGCAGCTTCACCACATGCATTTTTACCAAAACCATCAAGATTAACCTCCTCTTTTCAAGAAGAGTTCAGTTCTTCTGTCCAACAGGTCATCATAGCGTTTCCATTTCAACTATAAGTCCGTTTCTATCCTCACGGAAGTTATCGCCAAAAGTTGAGTCTGCCCTGTCGTGTTTCTGGCACAAGTTTTAATTTACTTTAGGGCTGAGATTGTCCACTCGATAGAAGCAGTAACAGGAACAGTCACCACCAAACATGCCATTGTCTAGCTGCCCTGATCTCTCACTAACGTAGTTTAGTTTGTGCAGGTTGCTACAGCTGCAGCGTCCTGGCACTGACCAGTACACTCTCTGACCATCCACTCAAACGACGTGGAAATGATGATGTTGTTGAAAGCCTGCTGGATGGCACCGGTGTGGCCAACTCAGAATCTGGTTGCGCTGTTGATTCTGAAAGCCTCGAGGCAGAATATGATTGAATAAAAGCTCCACATGAACACAATCTACTGGAAGCTGTGCAACCAGGAGAAAAGCTATGAAGTGAGCAGACATTTTGGAATAACTCAATACATATTATTAAAAGAACTATTTAATCAAACGTAGGTTAAGGATTCTGACAGTGTTTAGGTCAGCAGAGAAGGCCCCGATGGCCCACCACTGCCATGAGCCACCACAGAATATGGGAAAAGTTTAGCAAAAAAAATTATTTTTTGACTGCAAAGTTGTAGCTGTTATACCTTTAGAGTGTGCAGTCTAAATAAAGCCCGTAAAAAGTCCAAAAACTGTATCTGCATGGCTCAAAACATTTCACAAGAGTAAATAATAAGTGCTATGTGTCATTTTATGTTCCCATAATGACAAAATTAGTTCTCTATTCGACCTGAGATACTACTGATACTGATATCCTCCTACATGTCTCTGTGTGAGTGCAGCTACAGCGTGCGCTCTCAGGACATTATTACCTGCAGTGTTCTCTCAGTGCGGACTGAACTTGGCAAAAGGGCCTTCTCCTACTCCGCTCCTGTTTCCTGGAACATCTTACAAAAAGATTTGAAGCTCTCGACCTTGACCTCTCTAAGTGGCTTTAAGAATCTGTTGGACTCCTGGCAGGGACCAATGCAGACATGTTCCTGTTTTTAGTTTTCTACATTCGCCTTAGAATCTAGCTGATTTTGTTACTTTTTTGCCATCTTATTTGTAAAAAAAAAATCTGTACGCCTTTTTTATAACTGTCTATTGTTGTCGCTGTTAAAATCAGGTCTCTCTTGTAAATGAGTCCTCGAGGCTCAATGGGATTAACCTGTCTAAATAAAGGTTGAATGAATGAATACACCCAGTGGGCAGCTATGTAAGCACCCGGGGAACAGTTAGGGATTAGCTGTCTTGCTCAAGAACACTACGACATGTGGGCATGACGGGGAGTTGAACCTGTGACTTTCTGGTCCCATGTTGACTGATCTCTACACCATCTCTGCCTCAAATCAGAGTAAGATTTAAAGGGTCACACTTTGTTTTTTACTTTCATCTGAATCGTCTGTGTTAAAATAGTGACTAATATAAATCAGCAACATTTATTGTGAAACTGAATCTCAACAGCAGGTCTGAACACAAAAATAATCACTACACGTGTTCACGTTTTAGTCACAGTCCTCAATCGTTACGTTGTGGACGTTTTTTTAAAACACAAAACTTTAACCTGGAGTTTTTTCTGGTCTTTTAGAAAGAACACCTGCAAAATAAAGGTTTTCAAATCTGAAAAATATATGATAAAAATATTTCCAGTGTGTTTGGGGTCTGAATCATATACGGTAGTTTCTCTTCCAGTTCCAACAAGTTTTGAAGTTTGCTCAAATGCAGCAAAAGCTGAAATATTTATAACAAAGACAGAAGTTAAAACATTTGATCTTCTAAAAACCAGCTGCTGCAGATTCCTCTTATTGCAAAGAAAAGTTCAAATTGATTAAATATAATGAAGCTCGAGCATCAATGTGTGGCATGGAGGCTGCACAGCTGCAGAAAGAAAAGCTTTGCAGAGAGTGGTGAAGGCTGCACAGAAATCTGTTGGAATCAGCCTCCCCACCATCACAGACATCTACACCTCCAGATGCAGGAAGAGGGCCACCTGCATCATGAAGGACCCCACTCACCCAGCACACACACTTTTTGCCTCACTCCCCTCAGGAAGGAGGTTTAGGAGCATTAAGTGTAGAACCACTAGACTGAGGAACAGCTTCTACCCTGAGGCTGTTAGACTCATGAATCTCTAACTAGAATAATCACTGTGAAAAACCATATCATGTTGCTGCTGATCTGTTTCATGTTGCTGCTGATCTGTTTCAATGTTGATGTGTTCATGCGTGCACATCTGCTCACAGACTCATGTTCATGTTTGTGCTGATGTTCAATGTTTTATGTTATGAGTGCTTAGTGTATATTTAGTTGATGTTTTTCTTAGTTCATATGTTAGATGTTGTTACTGTTTTTCTTATACATTTTATTGTTGGCCCCGTGACCCAAAATGGAATAAACGGGTAAAGATAATGGATGGATGGATGGATTTTATTGTTGGATGTAACTGGGACCCCGTGTACATAATTTCGCTCCACCACATGTACCACATGAAGTGCGAATGACAATAAAGAAACTCTGACTCTGACTCTGATATAAATGACAAATATTCTACAAGACGTTTAGTGTCAGTATTTTTGTTAATCTGTTAAATAATTTTCTTCAGTCCAGCAAAACTGAAAAATATAGTTTGTTCATTTGTTTTAACAGACATACAATGCAGGTTTACTCTTTAACACTTAGGCTGTCTTTTTACTTAAAGATCCATCCATCCATTATGTTTAACCCACAAGTCACAACAGAAGTCATCTCAGGGCACGGAACAGTCATATATATATATATATATATATATATATATATATATATATATATAT